CCAAACAGATCTGGAAAGTACAGCGCCACAAAACTAGCATTGCCGTTGCAATCTGGATGGAATTAACTGAACAACATTTACCGTAATGTTTATTAAACTAGCAGCAGTCACGGCGATATTGTGTAAAACTACCCTGAAATGTATGTGCTGCCCCCTAGTACCAGGAAACTACACACTACCACTCTTAAGTTGTTTGTGCTAGGTTGTCTTTGTTATAGTAACGTGTCTTCATGTGCATTGTCCTTTGTATGCAATAGTGGCTCCAACACATAATTACTGTGTTCTATTTATTTTAAGCATGTGACAGCACAGTGTGATACAACAATTTAAAGGCCTCTCCACAGGTCCTTCTCAAAAAATTAGCATATTGTGATAACGTTCCTTATTTTCTGTAATGTACTGATAAACATTAGACTTTCATATGTATTAGATTCATTAAACCCAACTGAAGTAGTTCAAGCCTTTTATTGTTTCTAATATTGATGATTTTGGCATACAGCTCATGAAAACCCAAAATTCCTATCTAAAAAAATTAGCATATCATGAAAAGGTTCTCTAAACGAGCTACTAACCTGATCATCTGAATCAACTAATTAACTCTAAACACTGCAAAAGACTTCTGAGGCTTTTAAAAACTCCCAGCCTGGTTCATTACTCAAAACCGCAATCATGAGTAAGACTGCCGACCTGACTGCTGTCTAGAAGGCCATCATTGACACCCTCAAGCAAGAGGGTAAGACACAGAAAGAAATTTCTGAACGAATAGGCTGTTCCCAGAGTGCTGTATCAAGGCACGTCAGTGGGAAGTCTGTGGGAAGGAAAAAGTGTGGCAGAAAACGCTGCACAACGAGAAGAGGTGAGCGGACCCTGAGGAAGATTGTGGAGAAGGGCCGATTCCAGACCTTGGGAGACCTGCGGAAGCAGTGGACTGAATCTGGAGTAGAAACATTCAGAGCCACCGTGTACAGGCGGGTGCAGGAAATGGGCTACAGGTGCCGCATTCCCCAGGTCAAGCCACTTTTGAACCAGAAACAGCGGCAGAAGCACCTGACCTGGGCTACAGAGAAGCAGCACTGGACTGTTGCTCAGTGGTCCAAAGTACTTTTTTCGGATGAAAGCAAATTTTGCATGTCATTCGGAGACCAAGGTGCCAGAGTCTGGAGGAAGACTGGACAGAGGGAAATGCCAAAATGCCTGAAGTCCAGTGTCAAGTACCCACAGTCAGTGATGGTCTGGGGTGCCATGTCAGCTGCTGGTGTTGGTCCACTGTGTTTTATCAAGGGCAGGGTCAATGCAGCTAGCTATCAGGAGTTTTTGGAGCACTTCATGCTTCCGTCTGCTGAAAAGCTTTATGGAGATGAAGATTTCATTTTTCAGCACGACCTGGCACCTGCTCACAGTGCCAAAACCACTGGTAAATGGTTTACTGACCATGGTATTACTGTTCTCAATTGGCCTGCCAACTCTCCTGACCTGAACCCCATAGAGAATCTGTGGGATATTGTGAAGAGAAAGTTGAAAGATGCGGCCTTAAGCTCTGGATGAGCTTAAGGCCGCTATCGAAGCATCCTGGGCCTCAATAACACCTCAGCAGTGCCACACGCTGATTGCCTCCATGCCACGCCACATTGAAGCAGTCATTTCTGCAAAAGGATTCCCGACCAAGTATTGAGTGCATAACTGAACATAATTATTTTAAGGTTGACTTTGATTAAAAACACTTTTCTTTTATTGGTCGGATGAAATATGCTAATTTTTTTAGATAGAAATTTTGGGTTTTCATGAGCTGTATGCCACAATCATCAATATTAGAAACAATAAAAGACTTGAACTACTTCACTTGTGTGTAATCAATCTAATATATATGAAAGTCTAATGTTTATCAGTATATTACAGAAAACAATTACCTTTATGACAGTATGCTAATTTTTTGAGGAGGACCTGTATATAGCAGGGGTACTATTTTTGTCTGAACACTGAAGGACACAGAAGAGGTTAAAAGAGAGATTTTCCTAACCTCTAGGTGAACAATGTTGCCAGGGAAATGGAAAGCCTTGGTCTGGATCTTCATGGTATTCTTTATTTTAAAGAGGAAAAATGTAGAATTAAAAACTTTTCAGCAGATTGTGACTGCTTCAACAGTGAGTGACATCACTGGTCAATGCCAAAAGGCCTTCACGTTACATTGTAATTATGTCAGGGGAATGGGTGAGCAGCTGAATGATGTAATGGGCCATTCCCATCTGTACCGGGTCGGCCCGGGCCGGGTAGCCCCAGTCGGCCCCAGCCTGGCCCGGTTGATTCCACACATCCTTGTCTTAAGCCCTTGTGGGCTGATTCTACCCACCAATCAGAGGCTTGCTCTAATGGAAGGTGTGGATTTGCTGTCAGCAGTGGGTGTGTTGGCCCTGGTCGGCCTGAAGCAGACCCCCTCGAGAAGAGGGCTGAGAATGAGCCTTGGTTGGCCCGGAAAAATACCAGGCCACCCAGATATGTAAACAACCTACGCTACCCGGCCCGGGCTGACCCGGTACAGATGGGAATGGCCCATAAATGAGGCATTCAATGACCAGAAGTGCCATATTTTATGGCGCGCTGTGAAACAACAAACCCCCTGTGAATGATGGCGTTGGGGGTGTTTTGTCACATTGTTTGGTGTCAGGGGTTTGGTAGAGCAGCGTGGACCCAGCCTGTTTTCTTTTCCTTCCATTCCACTTCACCAGCAACTTTTCCAGTTTCACAAATGCCAATTGTTTGGCGACATCCGCCAATTTCATTTCCTTCTGGGGTACAACCAATCACCGTGCATACGTAATTCCGGAAAGGAGGAAAACCCCAGATTTCTGCTTTGAAGCCTCTCAGCCAGCTGCCTGAAGGAAGGAGGGTGAATGGGCTGGATGGGTAGTGTCTCTGGTATTTACCTGAAATTACGTCACTGAGGTTGAGTTCCTTTTCCCACTCTGAATGTTGCAAAAAGCCTAAATACCCGGATGTGTTGCTCCATTACACTGATGGTCAGACACACATAATACCTTTTGTTTTTTTCTTTAGGAATAAATTTGTATTAGCTATGACCAAAATGAACTAAAAATCGGCATAGGGTGTTTAAAGACCAGCACAGCTCATTAATTAACTAGTTTTTAAATGTACAATTAAAATATTCAGTTTATGTCATATTTATTTTTGAGTGCAAGTAAAGGTCAAAGTGTAACAGAGGTCTTTCCATTTTCTCTTCTTTTGTCCTCCCTTCAAGTGAAAATCAGAGGAAATCTCTTTGAGGAATTATCCATCCAAACCCACAAACTTGAAAGGCAGGCTGATGTAATAATAAACAATAAAGTGCTTTTATTGGCAAGGTTATCCATTTTCAAGTCACCTCTACAAATTGAATATCAAATTGACAAACTATAGAGATTTTTCTCATTAGTTGGACAATTAGCTAGTGGTGTATTCATTACGGGGAGACTGTCACCTCATTAATCACCTGCACCCGCATAAAAGCTCTACCTGAGACCACGCCGTTAGCGATCAACGCTTGGTGAGCTCGTAGCTTCTTCTCTCGTGATTTCCCTCCAGCGAAAAAAATATATATTTCCAACCGCCTTCTGATTTCACTTGCAGCCATAAGGGTATCCACCGTGGCCCTTGTCCAGGGGAGAGTGTATTTGGCTGCCACCTGAAACCTGTTTCAGATCAAAGGAACCAGAATGGAGTCCTGCTAGTGGCTGATTAACCTGCTGGCACACTCCTGACACAGTCCTTTAGCTCCCCGAGCTCCCTCCAAGCCTTAATCACACTCCTTCCCAGCTGGGTGTAAACCGAGCACTTGGCTGTATTTTTCTCCTGGAATATGAAAGGTGGGACGGAAGAGGTTTTATGCTATTTTGTTTTGTGTCTAATATAATGTCACAGAAGCAAATAACCACGTAAATCCCAGACGGCTGCAAGGACAAGGATGATACGACTCCCACGCTGGATCACAGGTGGCTCCTTGAAGGGAAGTGTGTGTGTGCGCGAAGTTAACATTCAGCCACTCAGTCACCAGAGACAATGCCACTCTGGGCCCACTGGTGCAGTTATGAACCCTTGTTCTTTATTTGTTTTTACCATGATTGATCCAATTCCTTTCTGCTTCAAATACCTTCTCACCTGGGTACCAGCTGACGTCACGCTGTCACTTCTAATTCTTTACAGCCTCCACTTCCTCTTTGTCATACCTGAAAGCATCCGAACGCAGGCTTGTGCGTCTCAGTCCTCAGACACCCTGACAGCACCCTGACACAAATACAATGTGAAATTGTGTCACGCCAAAAATTTTACTCACGCATTACTTCCTGCAAAAGGTTTACTAACTTTAATTCTCTTGCACCTGAACGAGCTAGGCCCAGCCGAGGGGAATAAAGCAGCAGGGGGTGTTCTTTTTTACCCAAAAGGCCTCCCACTAAGTCAGTAATGATCTCATTTGTATGCATTGTCCTCTTCAAATCTGCGTCGCTGTGAGACTTCACCCCCAATGGGTCTGCCTTACTTTCACATCCTCCCCTAACCTCCTTTTCTGTGCAAATTAGCGTCAAAAGCTCCAAAACAAGTCAAATAATTTGGTGCCCATTGAAATTTAAAAGTAGATGGTGTCCAGTGGGAGAATTAGTGCTCTTAAATTACCACCAACTTTTCTTCAAATGAAAGCAACAAATTCCTGTTTTAACCACTTGATATTTGTCTATTGCTTCCTATAATGTTGACTGAATTTGCTGTTTGTGTTTATTCTGCCTGTTGTTTCCTGCTTTTGTCTTATGGATAACCTGAGTGGAGTCTGCTAAACTGGAGTGCTAAATTCCACTAAATTTACGCTTCCCGAAAGGGGAAAAATAACCTCATAAAGCTTTTATAAATCCTTCTAAACCAAGATAAACCTCTTTCTAAAACTATGTATAAATGTGTGTTTTCTGTTGCTGTTGCCGAATGTTTCAAGCTGTTTGTTAAACTCTCAAACTTTAAAGGCAACAGCGACATTGAGCGCTATCAAATGGCAAATAAGAAAATCCCTTTCAAATATACCCGGCCAGTAGAAGACTGGATTCAGGAAAAAGGTAAATCTTTATTAAACTTCTAGAATGTTTTTTTCCTTTTGATTTTCAGTTTTTAATTTTATGTCATCTCATCAGCTTGCTGCCTTTGAACCTTTGGGAATGTGAAAAAAAACATTAAATCCCTTAAAAACCTGTAAAACAGCACATTTTTGTGATTTGCTTTCCCTTTAAGTATACTTTCCCCCGTTTTGTCATTGTCACATTTTTTTTTTATTACTGTAAAATTTTCCAGTTAAAGGGACTGGAGGAGATTAAATTACCAACAGGATAAAAAAAACTGGTTATTTTATTCATGTGTGCAAAACTGACTGGGGAGAGGCACCATCTATCCGTGCAGCAACAGTAGGCAGATTGTTTGGAGAGGAGGATTAACTCCCCTGGCTCACGTCCTCGGCAATGTTTGAGAACAAACTAATCAGTGGGAATATCTCCTGAAAACTTTCCAAACGGCAGGTGTGCTCCTCTCCGCTGTTATTCATCTACTTGTACTTATTACATGAAATGGATTCCTAACCTGTATTTGACGATGAAGAGATAATTGGAGCCTTTTTGACAGCTAAGTGTCACAGTACAGCCCGCTAAGGCCTGACACAGCTGCACTTCCTTCACACCGAGGTTAAAATTCAGCATCTCGTTAAAAGACCTCCCCTAAAACAAGAATTCCAATAAATCCATGTTCTCAATCTGCATAATATCATTATAAACTGCTTTTTAAAATTCATTGCACATAAACATCTTAACCTTTTTTATAAAGTCCCTTTAACAACTGCTAAAACACTGACAGGTTTGAAAAAAATCTCATTACTGCTGCATGCATGACTCCGCACATGCTACATCATTTCTCTGTGATACAAACGCCCCTTCCCCGCCATCCCATACTTAATGTTTTATGCACCAAGCAAATGTAACAAGTGTTCTAGTCTAGGAACTATACAAAGGGAGATATTTAAGTATGCTTCTTGTATTGTGAACGTTTTTTTGCCTTTTCCTTCCATAATGAATGCACAAGCAGTAATTTTTTTAATTTGTCCTAATCAAATTCACATGGCATGTTAAAAATTGGTGTTGCTCAAATTGTCTTTATGCATATTTAGGAATGGCTTTAGTGTTCAGGTGCACAGTTTTGTTACAAAGACTAATAAAGAGATCATTTAGTTTATTTCAAACAAGGTTGTGTTGAGTAATTATGTGTAGTCAGCATCTTACCTGCAGTAGAAAGAGGTCAGTGACAATAAAGCCCATCTAGGAATCAAGCGGACAGCCACTCAGATCAGAACTGAGTCAAGAGCGATTTACAAATAACGCAACTTCAAAGCTAGCCTAGCGGTTTGAGCTAATGCTGCGATAATAATTTTTATTTCATTGCTTTGACATGTGACAGTGACTTATTTAATATATGGTAAGCTCAAAAATGTATGGGTTACATGCCATGCATGCTTTAAAAAATATCTGCTGCAGATTAGCCAACGTGTAGATTTGCTAATCAGAATAAGTGCATTTTATGTATAACACAGACATAAAATCATTCAAATGAAAAAATCAAACTAAACAACGAAGAAGAAGAAGAATAAAAGATTAATAAAAAATCACTACAAAAGACGCCTTGCCTTTTTTCTGTAACCAGCGGATTTCAGTTGATGTTAGAAACATAATGGGCCGGCTCAACAAAGCTTTAGGAAGTTAGGTGCATCTAGAGATGTCTGATGTGGGTTTATTGAGCCATAAATTTAATAAAGTCTACTACGCAGCAGGAGGAGTGTCTTAGGCCCTGTCCCAGCACTCGCACTTCCACCCTTGTGCCCCAAAATTTCCTTCCAGGGGTGAGAGTGCATAGGGTGTCCCAATTCTAAAGTGCGGCCCATGGACACGCCCCCTTTGCACCTTTCATCTGCACTTGACTGAAACCTGCTTTGGTGTGGACTTTAGCGAATAAAGATAAAAAGAAGTAGCACAAATGGGCACTGGCATCCTGGCTCACTGTCCCAATTCAGAAAGTATTTGCACATTTGTGCACTATCCTTACTACGCACTTCCTCCAAGTGCACTTTGCAGAGGGCCGCAGGGTGCAGTGCGAGTATTGGAACAGGGCCTTAGACACTTTTTGTTGCAGAGTAAATTACATCTGTCAGTAATGTGGTCAAATCCATCATTTTATCTACTTAAATTGTTAGAAAAGGACAGGAAATAAAAATAAATGTTTTTGAGAATGCCATTAAATATTTGCATTTGTATTCATAGTAGTTGTTACTATGGTCTACTGCAGGTAAAATACTAACGCAACCTAATAAAGCTAAATTATCTCTTGTGTGTCTGTAATTAGTACCACCCATAATATTGTATATATGTGCAGTCTTCTAAAAGTGGATGGTAGAGCTAATGATTTAGGAAGGAGGTGGGGAATTGTCTGATTAGTGTTTCTCTAACATCATGCATAGTTTGGTGCTTTGCTGCATCAGACAATTCCAAAGTCTGTGTTTCATCCCTCTTCCTTTCCTCCTGAATCAGGCCGGCAGTTGACCATCTTCAACACCCAGGCTACCATCTCTATTGGCGGGAATGACCGAAAGCGGCCCTACCAGGGCCAGCTCTCTGGCCTCTATTACAATGGGCTCAAGGTGCTCAAAATGGCCGCTGAAGGCCACCCCAACATCAAGGTGAATGGCAGTGTGAGGCTGGTTGGAGATGTGCCCACTAGCCGGGGTGCAACGCGCACCACCACATCAGTGCCACCAGAGATGTCTACCACCTTTATAGAGACCACCACCACCCTGTCTACCACAACCACCAGAAAACAACGCTCTCCACCCACCATTCAGGTTGGTACTACTGGGGATGAAAACACGGGTCAATGCTTGAAAGTATTTAATTTTAGGACTGTTGTTTTAAAGATGATGCTTCAAAAATAGAAAAACCCTCTGGTATCCTAGTTTGTTGGTAATTTATGTCAAAAGTTATTCTGAAAATAATTGATAATGCATTAAAGTGTGATTTAGCAAGACATAACTCATGAACTAAGAATATATAAATGTATTTTTAGAGTAGTGTTGAGTTGTTTGTCATTGTTTAAAAATTTTGAGGCTTTGAATGCAGGAATGTGATTCGCCCATCCGGGAGGGCTTTCATCTGGCGAATAAATGTATTTATTTTTTGCTGATCAGGTTTTTTTTCTAATGTCAAAGTAAACAAACCCTGTTCTCCTGTCTTTACCGTGAAATTTGTTTTTGGTATTTTGTTGGCCCATTGTTGAATTGAAGCTTTGCTCCACTTTTCTCCTCTTGATCAACCAAGGTCAGGATACTGCATTTCTCATTCTGTGGAGGATTGAAGTGCTGCTGTCCATCGAAGGGTGCAAAGCCAGCTGCTCGTATTCTCCCAACGTTTCTCTCTTTTCCTCCGTCTCTCTTCCTACCTCTGCCACTCTCGCCCCACCCTACCCCCTTTCCGGTCTGAGAGGCCTTTCACCAATATGTTCCGAGTGTGAGCCAATGAATGTCACAACTGTGCCATGAAAGTAATCACCCCCAGCAGTCCTTTGACACCTAGAGCACAAATTGAACCGTTCGTTGTCTATATTAAAGCAATAACTCTCCGTCATGGGTGAGACATGGTTGGGGAGAGGTTTGGTTGTTGGATGACAGACCACTGTTATCTTCCTCTTCACCTCAGCATCAGACTGCATGGTGCACAGCGACGATGGCCCTTTATGTCAACGCTGACACTTGTACCTCTTCGAATGTGGAGAAGGCTGCATTGTGAGTTGTTGGAAAGCCACTAAATACCTTGTAATTTTGCAGACAGAACTGTTAGTCGAAAAATCTTCAGTGTGAGGTTTGAAAATGTGGAAATGAAGCAAAAAAAAATATTTTCTTTTCTGTCTTGGGGCAGTAACAGTAACTCTTCTGAGATACATTACATTGGCACATCAAAAATGGACGAATTTGCATTGTGGCATTTGCTATTAATATCAAAGGAAGTCAATAAAGTTCCTGCTATGAAACATGACATTTCAAGGTGAAACGATGAACCAATGCGTCTTTTGTTGATACCCCGGACGCCTTTAGATAGCAGATAATGCAGATCAGACAACTTGCCAATAATGTTGTAGTGTTCTACCCTAACTTTTCATTTTATTTTTGTATTTCCTCTGAGAAAGCTCCTCAGTCATTCATCTTCCACAAGCTCCCCGTGACAGGCTCTGCTTTGATTCGCGCTGCCGTGTCTCAGCATTTCATTTGCCAAGGCCTTTAATTTTACAGTTCCCTTGCTGGCTGTCAAATACTGTGGTGTGAGAGGTAAGGAGAGGACCTGTACCCGTTTGGCAGATTTCTCCACCCCTCTGGGTAGTATAGGGGAGTTTGGGGAGTTGAGCTATCATCAGTGATGTACTGCAGTGCTGAAAAAGAGCTATAGGCACCTGACGCAGTGCCGGAGCCGAACGTGTGTGCAGCTGTTTTAGAAATGGATCCGCTTGAGTGGACTAAAATGTGTGTGAGCATCTTCAGACATCTATTTTAGGTCTGTCGAACCAACACCACCTGCTTTTTTTCTGAGGTGAGAAGAGGTGTATTCCATGATATCTCTGGATCAACAGGATGAGAGGAAGAGGTGTGAAGTAGACAGACCAATCTCATGTTTAATATGGAGGGGGGCATGTACTGTGGCTAAACAACTCACCGCTGCTCTTGATGAGCATAACATCTATGATAGTTTCCAGTCTCATTCTACTGAAACAGCTCTTCTTAGGGTCTCTAATGACCTTCTGACTCACAGTGATGCAAGGGACTGTTCTGGTTCTGGTCCTGCTGGACCTGACTGCAGCCTTTGGCACTGTTGACCATCACCTGCTACTGGAGAGGCTGAGAGACTGGGTAGGCCTATCAGGATCTTCTCTGGAGTGGTTCTCCTCTTATCTTTCCGAGTGCTCCTTTTCTGTGGCTGACTCCAAGTTTAGGTCCTCCACCACCATCCTTGCCCATGGTGTCCCACAAGGTTCTGTGCTGGGGCCTCTGCTCTTCCTCCTCTATCTGCTTCTTCTTCAACACATCCTGAGCTCCTTCAAAGGAATCTCTTACCATCTTTATGCAGATGACATCCAACTGTACATCTCCTTTAAGCCCCATGAGATGTCTAAGCTGCAGCTGTTACACACCTGCTTAGACTCTATTAAAACCTGGATGGCTGGGAACTTTCTACAGCTGAATAAAGATAAGACTGGGATCCTCATCTGTGCCCCATCGTAATCACAATTTTTAATGTTCCCATTTTTATTATATTTTTCATAATTTTTATAAGAATTTATTTTTTTTATTTTACAGTTTCTTTTGCTCTGTCTTTCAATTTACAGTTCAATCCTAACTCATCATTTTTGAGTCTTTTGCCATAAATGAAGTTGTAGATGTAAGGGTTTAATTTTACATTTATTTAATGAACCATAAGACGTGATATTCCATAGTAAATATGAAATCAATCTTATGGATCTTTGGGTACTTTTAACCAGAAGATTGGAACTTTTTATTGCAGGGATTATGTAACCACTCATATTAACTGAGACAACAGAAGAGAGAGTCACCTTTAAAATATTTAAGATTTATTTCTAAACAATTTTAAACAAGACTAACTCTAAATTCTAAGTGAATGGATGGATCTTGGTGTGAATGAGACATGAGATCAATGGTGTATGTGTGAGTGATGTTGTAATCAGAACTCTCGTATCCGGAGAAGCAAGTTTCAATGACGTTGTGATGTTTTGCTCTTAAGCTATGATCCGAGTTTCATAAACACATAAGACGCCATGTTGTCGCTCCACACATACCCTTCAGGATGAGACCTCCATACAGATCCAGAATGCCAGGTCCTCGGACCCCCCTTTTGGTGCCGGAGCCGATGAAACATCGTCAGCAGTACGACAGACTAGTCTTTGGATTGTCTCCAGGTAAAAAGCGACAGTTGGTTGACAGCGCCAGATGGACCCGGAGGGTCAGTGAGTTCAGCTTTTATTCTGAAAGGAACCGTTGCTTGGTTGGTTGAGTGCAACAGATTGTATCCAGCTTGTCGGTTCTTTGCTTAAAAAGGAAGTCCAGGTGGCCGGTCCGATACTTATGTGTTTATATGTTTATTCATTTAGCAGATGCTTTTATCCAAAGCAACTTACAATTTATAACCTATAGGGCATGTTGTGATCTGTGGGGGAAACCAGAGTACCCGGAGGAAACCCACGCATGCATGGGGAGAACACGCAACTCAACACAGAAAGGCCGCAGCCGAGTTTCAAACCTGCAACCTTCGTGCTGCGAGGCAACAGTGCTAACCACTGCTCCACCATGCAGCCCAATAGCCCCGATACTTCTCTTAGTATGCGGTGAACTGACTTAAGATGGCGTGGGACTGGTTTTATTAATCTGGATGTTTCGATTTATGGATGAATCAAAGTTGGCAGATTTATAAACACCACAGAGACTATGCCACGCTTCAGAAAGGAAGGTGCCGATTGGATGAGTAAAAGCAATGTGTCATGCGTTTACACTTCGTGTGATCAGGATGTCTAGTGCAGCTAGATTAAAGTCATATTACTTATTAAACTTACTAATCATAACATTGTCATTTCACGGCTTGGTCAACATCTTATTAATGACTAACACTTTGTGTGATTAGCTTTATTAAAATAGAGTTATTTGATTTATTAAAAAGAAAGAGTCCTTTGTCTTCATTCTTCTCTTGGGCTGGAAAGGAAAAGTTTTAGAAGCAAATGCATGACCTTGAGCAATATCTCATGCAGATTAGTTCTTGCTGAGGAGAGGGGGGGGGGGTGACATTTAGGTGGAAAACAGTCATTTCATTCCGTTACATAGAGATTAAGTGCCTTTGTGTTTTCAACACGTGATGGTTGATGAAAGATAGACCAACAGACAAAGATGGAGCGAAGCTAAAAAGTAAAGCATCTGATTGGCCAACAGCAATGCTACTGTTTACAACTTATTAGGCACAGATTAAAAGACCTCTTTCAACAATGGAAGAAGCCTTTTGCAAACACATCTCCTTTTACTTAATGCAAAGTCATCTATGAGGTCATCTGATGCTTCTGAGCTGAGCTGATGATAGTGAGCCTACTCAGGCGTTCTTGTGATAATGCAGGCGATGGAGGTTGAAGAAGTTTATTGTTTATCGGTTGGTTTTTGTACCAGTCAGCATTCTGTCCTGACTGATGAATTCCAGCCTTTATTGCAAAATTCACTGAGTTCTAATCAGAAATGTTTTGTATTTATTTCTTTATTTGTATCCTGTTGCTTAATGAGATTTCTTCTTAAAAAACACAAGTATTCTTGTAGACTCAAGTCTAAACATAGAAGAAACCATTGAAATCAGATTTCTAAATGACTGAACCTGTATTGTATCAAAGAGCGGTTTTCAAATTAATTCATGCAACAGTTTTAAATCCATAGTGCAAATGTGTGTTCCCTTGCCGATGCTGGACCCAATTTTACTTGGTATCAGATCGGTGGTATTGCACATGCCTACCGTTAGCTACTTTCTGTTTAAAATCTGCACGTTCTAAAGAAATTACCCGTCATCCATCCGGTGGGAATGGGAAGGCAAAAAACAAACATTCTGTGGAGCTACAGTGATGCCTGGAAACAGAGGCTCTGTTGCATGTTTCATTTAAAACTTAAATTGCCATTAAGGAAGATCAGGACCTCAAGTTGAACCTGCTAAATGTTCTCTTGAGTACGTGTTTACGCGTGGAAATAAGGGTCAGTGTGTTTTGTTGCTTTGGAAAATAACTGCTCAGAATTCTGAGCTTTTTGCCAATAAATCTAAA